GATAAAGGAAAAGCTATAAATCGTATGATACTTCCCTTCAAATCAAACAAATTCAAAAGCTTGAGTCATAGAAACCTGAGATAATTGAAATAATTTGAATAATTAATTCAACAATAATATCCTTTCATTGATGAAAAAACTACATACTCTTGTAAATTAGCAACCATCTTATCTCAATAAATATTCCACTTAATGAGTATAGTACTTTTCATTGAAATTAAAAACAAGTAAATAAACGTTGGCACACAACATAGCGCACATCACATAAACCCACTCATCTAGAAAACCTTCTTTAATATAATTAATTAAGTAGATGATAAGTTGTATAATTGCCAATTAACTAATTTTGGGTTAAACCCATGTCTGGTGTAGTTAAAAATTAAATTTTTAATAAATTTTAATAAAAGTTAATAAAATACGCGGTTGAAAATTTGTAAGTCTCACGAAATGTGTGGTTAAAATTAATTATTGATTTTGAATTAAATTTTTAGTAATTTTTTAATCTTCAACAAACATGGTGTGAATGTGTGAACGGTAAATGAACATTGTTGCATATACCAAAACCCTACATAATTATAGCTTTGTATCAAAGTCATACGTGAGCTCACAAATTTTATTCGCATTCTTGCATGATTAACTTTCGTCGGTCAAAACTAAAGCAATAATCCACATAACAAATCAAGTGCCTACGTGGTAATGACGTGGTAAACACTTGATAAATTAATTATACAAATGGTACAAGAAATTTGCAACATTTATCAAAATTATACGTGAACTAAATTTTTTTTTTTTATCAAAATCATCCATGAACTCACATCCATACATGATTTAGCTTTTGTCTATCAAAATTAATGGAACAATCGGCAAACTATTCAGAGTTCAGGCAAACTATTCAAAGATTAGTAAATGGACTGCCTTAGCTTATCACTTTGAAAAATTTGAGTATTACGTAAAATTTATTGTACCATGAGGATAATAAAATACAAATGGAAGTAAACATTGTGTTTGTCATGTTGATTGTTCGGTTAATTTTGATAAACGGAAGTTAATTTATGAACGGATGTTTATAAGTGTGAAATTTACACTTATCTAAATCATCAAAAGTGACTTTTATTAGCTTTATTGTGAATTTGATGCTTAACTATTTGTATTTTCAGATTATTTTAAGAGAAAACCAGCAATACTGATCACGAAGGGTGGAATAGAATAAAAGCTATAATTCTGGGATAAAATTCTACACTTCGAAAATTGAAGGATTTGAATTTAATTAAAGAAGATATGGGTTGCAGTTGCACAAATAAGTGGACTCAAGGGACTAAATTGCATTATTTGGAAGAAATGAGGCCATGGAAAGAATTATTATATTAGTTGGGCTTTGAAATTGGACATATACCGAGGACNAGTTGGGCTTTGAAATTGGACATATACCGAGGACGGCGGCGGGAGACGCGGGAAAAAAAGAGCACATAATTTGAGACAGCAAACACAAAGACGGCTGACACGAGAGAAGAATTCTGGATTCCATTGAATTTTGGTGATATCATTCAACTTCTATTTGTTTAGTTCCGACATTATGCTAAACTAAATTAGTTTTGTGCTAGAATTTTCGATGAACCTTGTATCATGAACCTTTAATTCGTGATTTTATTTATTTTTGACATTTAAAGCACGTTTTTAATTATTTGATGATTGACATGAATTTAGTTTTTTCTACAATTATACGTAATAGTTGTATGAGTTTTGTGACTTATTTTACGTTCGAAAGATTAAAAATAAGTTAGACATGGTGTCAATTATCGTGGAGTCCGGAAAGGGATAAAAATATATCTCTAAGCTTTACATAATATTTAAGTATTCATAAATCCATTAATGCATTATTGTATGTTTGTATATGTCATAGAAATATAGTCGGGTCACATGTAAACATAGATTTAATTCTACTCAAGAGATTGCTAAACAAATTAGGAATACTGATCTTTATAATTGAATCGTGTTGTCAAATTCATAAGGTTCGGGGTTAAAGGGGATTGATATAAAAGAATTTGGGATCCAAGTGCACTTTTCATCATCATATTTTTATAAAACTTACATTTAATTAAAACCTTACATTGATTTTAATTAATTTAGGTCTTGCATTCATAAGTAGATTATTTAATTTCTAGGAAAAATCACAAATTTCAATAGTTTCGATTAAGGTTAAATTAATTTGAATTTGAACTAGTACAATTTCTGTGGGAACAATACTTGTACTCAAAATTTATTTTACCACTTGTTAAGGAATCGTACACTTGCAGTATTTTAAACGAAGAATATTTTCGTGACAAGATTTTGGCGACGTTGCTGGGAAATGTATTTGAGTTTAAGTTCATTTTCCTTGGCACTAATTCGAACTTTTAGCTTTTATTTTATTTTATTTTTATCAATTATTTCAGTGTTTCTATTTTCTCTCTTTCAGGCATTTTATGCGAAATTCGGAAGACGGTGAATTGATAGTAGTTGATCCAGAAATTAAATATACCTTTCACCGTGGACAAAAAGAAGCTAGAGAAGCACAACAAATAGAGATGGCTAATGCACATAATAATCTGATTGTTCAAGTGAATGAAGATGTAGTGGTCGATGAATGAAATATGCTAGTTGGGGATTTCATGACTCCACAAATTATTCAGAGCCAGTCTAGCATTGTTTATCCTCCCTTTGGGCTGCTGAACTTTCAGCTAAAAACGAATTTCATCAATTTATTCCAGAATGACATCACTTCTACGGCTAGGCTGATGAAAATCCACACACACATGTCTCTCGATTTTTGGAGATGTCCACACTTTAAATTTCAAGGAGTTTCAGATAATGCTATCAAATTGAGATTATTTCCCCATACTCTATGTGATAGAACCCTTGAGTGGCTGGACTCATTGAATGACTTAGCTCAAAAATTTTGCACCAAATTCTTCCCACCAACCAAGATAGCGAAGTTGAAGCATGACATATCCATATATCGGCAAGAAGAAACTGAATCCTTTGATGAAGCTTGAAATAAATTCAAGAACATAATTCGGAAGTGTCCTCATCATGGCATCAGTAAAGGGATTCAGTTCCAATATTTTTATGAAAATCTACTTCCATCTTATAAGAGCATGGTCAACTTTTCATCCAAAGGCTCTTTGTCCACGAAAATAATTGATGAAGCTTTAGAATTGTTTGACAAAGTGGCTAATACTACAGCCATCTGTGCCTTTAAGTGGGTTGTTCACAAGAAAGTACCAAGAGTATACGAGGTGGACATTTATACAAAATTATTTGCAAAAATTTATTCTTTGGTTCATAAGGTTGAGAGATTATAACAACCAGTCAATGTAGTACAGGCTAAGTGGGCAAGTTGTGAAGAATGTGAGGGAAGATCACAGTACAATAAGCTGTCCAATTCTTACACAAGATATAGAACAAGTTGACTATCTACAAAGGGATCAATGCTAACAAAATAATCCATATTCTGACACCTACAACCCTGGTTGGGTGAATCATCAAAATTTTTCTTGGAGTAATTACAATTCTGATAGGCTACAAGGTTCTCAGTTTCAGCAAGTAGAGAAGAGAACTTCCTTGGAGGAAATGTTTGGTAAATTCATGGAAAAGATAGATCAGTACATAGAGGCAAATAATCAATTCATGAGAAAGATTGATACAACTCTTCAAAATCAAAGTGCTGCAACTAAAAACTTGGAGACTCGGATAGGATAGGACAGATGGCACATGCTATATCAGGAAGAGCACTGGTACATTGCAAAGTAATACAAAGGTTAACCCCAAGGAACATGGGCCGTGCTAGACATACTCACGGAATTACTACACCTTTTACTTACTGCTGACATGGCTGAGCTTTGACAATTCAACACAGAAATATATATATATAAAAAAAAGAGAAAACCAATTAAAAGGCGCCATTTTCCTAAAAACTCCATCATTTCCATTCATTAGCTCCAAAGTGAAAAAGCTCCCAGTCCGGCGAAAATGGAGCAGCAAGAAAACTCAATTGATCGCCGTTGACTTAGACGACGAAGACCACACCTCGGCGAACCCGTTATTTCCCCACCCCACCCCACCTCACCCCCCACACACTGACGCTGAGAGTGTACCTGTAAATGCCATAATTAAAGTCTTTGGTGAAGATTAAAGGAAGATCTTCATGAAGTGTCCTTACAGATAAACCTAGGTTAACATAAAATTCATCCTTCTAGTTCTGGTTCTTATCCTGCGCACATGGGGTCTGGTTCACCTGCGCTAGACCCCGAGGTAGAGGCGGCTCAAGCTTGGTCTGAGTATTAACAGAAGAACTTAACATTGGGGATGGGGAATTAAGAGGAGAAGAAGAACATTGTTGGTGAAAAACAATAGCCGGGGATTTTTCTTTAGATTGAAGCAGAGTTGGAGAAAGATTTGGCAGAATATAGGCCATAGTTTGTTTCTTCTTATTCAATGTTTGGCTATAAATAGTGATTGTTTTGTTTTTGTGTTGTTGAAGTAAAAAGTAGGTTCTTTTGAGTGGTTTTGGACATGGCCAAGATACCAATCTTTTTCTCGTCTGAAACTTTACCAATCTGTTTTCTTGCATTTTCTTTATTTCTTCTCTTTGAACATGCTTGGTTAATAGTATATTGTCAAGTAATTTTTCTATTACAAACAGACTTCAAACAAGGCAAAAATATTTACTTGAACCAAGAAATTAGCCCAACTGACTTCGCATCAGGAAAGTCCAAATTGAAGTGGAAGGAACATAAAGTATACTGCTAGATAGTTTCTAATTTTTTACATTCTTGAAATCTTCTTATTCGATTAAGAAATATTTTCGGCATTTCTTAACTTCCAACACAGAAATTACCAAATTCTATCTTCATAAGCTACAGGAAAAAAAACACAAAGAACATATCCAATTATCCAAATTGTACAACCGTAATTGAGCTGGCCCTTTCTTCTTACCACCGCTACCAGTACTCTTCTCAGAGATGTCTAATGCATCTAAACAACCCTTCACAATTTCATCGATGTAGGTGAAATCCCTCGTAACTCAATGTTGATTTCATAAAAAATGTGCCGGTGATTTCACAGTTATCTCAGGCGACCAGCAATAAATTCGGAGGAGGTTTGATTTCACTGGTATGACTTCGACCCGTGATTTCACAGGTTTGATTTCACCGTCGATGTGCCAGAGCTTACATGGATCGTGAGAGAGGAGTGCAAGGGGAATAGGTGAAATTTTTCAATTTTGGGGGTTTATTTCAAATAGCAAGATTATCACGTGATTTCTCTCCCCCAAGCTGCCGTTATGTTTGACTGAGAGTGCCATGTCAGTAGGAAGTAAACAATTCAAGAAAAGTGTGCAGTACATATAGCTTTTTCCAAAGAACATTTCAAAGCAATTGCTACCAGAAGTAGGGTCTAGTTACCTGAGATTCATGTTAAAATGCTAGTTGCAAATAAAGGAAAATTACATTCTACTGATGAAGAGCATGTGGAACAAACTGAACAGACAATAAATACATAGATGTTAAAGAGAGTTCAAATACACCAGAGGTTAAGGTAACTGCTCACATCAAACCATACGAGCTTTCGACTCAATTTCCTCACAGACTGCAAAAATACAAGTTAGACAAGTAATATACAAAATTCCTTGAGATCTTCAAGAAGCTTCACATCAACATCCATTTTGCTGATACTCTCGTTCAGATGCCTAGTTACACCAAATTCTTGAATGATATCTTATCTAACAAACGCAAGCTAAACGAACATGAGACAATAATGTTGACCGAGGAGTGTAGTGCCAGAATACAAAAATAAGCTACCTCGCAAATTAAAAGATCTAGGGAGTTTCATTGTACCCTCTACTATAGGCTATTATTAATTTAATAAAGTTTTATGTGATCTATGTGCAAGCATTAACTTGATGTCACTATCTGTTTTCAAGAAACTAGGCTTGGGGGAGGCTAAAGCATCTACAGTAACTTTACAACTAGCAGATCGGTCTATCACGCACCCAAGAGGAATTATTGAAGATATCTTGGTGAAAGAGAACAAATTCATCTTCCCAACTGACTTTCTTATTCTTGACATGGAGGAGGATGGGGACATTCGACTTATTTTAGATTGACCATTTAACCTATTGGCAGAGCTCTTATTGATGCGCAAAAAGGTTAACTGATTTTGAGGCTTGGTGAACAGCATGTCGCATTTAATGTGTTCAAGACCATAAAATATCCAACGGTGTCAAATGTTTTTAGATCGGTGTGATTGACAAGGTTAATGACACCTTCCAATTGCATAATCCATCTGATCCATATGAGGTGTGCATTGTACACTCTCAATCCACTCATTCTGATTCTAACAAGATTGAGATATGTGCAAGATATCTTGAAGCTAATCTGGCATATAGGATCAGAATACACTGTGAGGAGTTAGGCATGGGTCCTACAAAGCCTTGGCCATCAATTTAGCAGCCTCTTAAATTAGAGATCAAAAAGTAGTCATCTCATCTTCGTTATTCCTACTGGGGATAATCGTCCATATTAATTGTTATTATTTTAAATTCCGTCAATAAGCTTTAAGAAGAGAGACGGCTGTGGGGACTCAAACAAAATAAGACAGCTATTGAGTGGTCTATTGCAAACATCAGAGGGGTCAGACCTACACTTTACATGCATAAAATTCTTATGAAAGATCATTTTCGACCAAGTATAGATGGACAGATGAGACTCAATCCAAATATGAATGAGGTAGTCAGAGTAGAGGTACTGACGCTTTTGGATACATGGATAATTTATCATATCTCAGACAGTGCATCGATAGTCATGTTTAGGTTGTGTCGAAAAAGGGGTATCACAATAGTACAGAACGAGAAGAATAAACTAATTCCCACCAAAACTGTTACGTGATGGAGAGTTTGCATTGACTATCGCAAACTCAACAGTGCTACTCTAAAGGATCAATTTCCCCTTCTATTTATTGATCTGACGTTGGAGAGGTTGGCAAGTCACTCCCATTATTCCTTTCTTGATGGATACTCCGATTATAATCAGATTCCGATAGCACCCAATGATTGAGAGAATACTACATTTACATGTCCCTAAGACACATTTACTTACTGTAGGATGCCATTTGGCATATGCAATGTCCCCCAGCAACTTTTTCAAAGTTGCATGATGGAATTTTTCTGACATGATGGAGAAATTCATAAAAGTCTTTATGGATGATTTCTCAGTCTTTGGTTCTTCATTTAATGAGTGCCTAGAGCACTTAAAATTGGTCTTGCAATGATGCAAGTAAACTAATTTGGTACTAAATTGGAAAAAATGTCACTTCGTGGTACAAGAAGACGTCGTGTTGGGGCATTTGATTTCAACTAAAGGGATTGAAGTGGACAAGGCAAAGATTCAGGTTATTAAGAAATTACCACCACCAACTTCAGTTAAGGGTGTTCGCGGTTTCCTTGGTCGCACTAGGTTTTATCGTCACTTCATCAAGTACTTCTATACAATCACTAAAGAATTGTACAATCTACTAGACAAAGATATTCATTTCAACTTCTATGAAGAGTGTTTATTAGATTTCAATACTCTAAAAGAGAAGTTGATTTCAGCACCAATAATAATTGCACCAAATTGGAGCTTGCAGTTTGAACTAATGTGTGATGCAAGTGACTACGTAGTGGGATCAGTATTGGGGCGATGTTGAGATAAAAAAAATTATGTGATTTATTATGTAAGCAATATATTGAATAATGTACAGCTAAACTAAGCTACATTAAGAAGAACTTCTAGCTGTAGTCTATGTTTTTGATAAATTTTGATCTTATCTTGTTAGATCAAAGGTAAGTCTACATCGACCATGCAACTTTGAAGTATTTGATGGCAAAGAATGAAGCAAAACCAAGATTGATCGGGTGGGTACTACTCATTAAACAAACTAATTTCATTAAACATAACAAGTCTCATGCCACAGAGAAACAAAAGTATAGATTGACCTTGCTTGGAGAAAAATGAAAGCATAGTCAGAACTGAGCTTGCCAAGATTATTTAGCCCTGTGACATTAATTTTTTAGTTCATAATTGTCAATTTT